CAAGGACAAAGAGACACTTCAGCAGCAAAATTCTTCAGGTATCTGTCGTTCATGATCCAGTTATCGCAAAGCTTCTGTGGCCACTTGGATCCATGCTCGCGCTCCCATTGAGGTCCAAAATACCAAGCGAGGGGAATTGGTTTGCTCCATAAAACACTGAAAAAATTATGTATTCATCAAGTTCTAATACTTGTCCTCGTGTCCAATGGGCTAGTCAGTGACAAATGTCATGACACAATAATTGCTGATTTCATAATCATTTCAAGTGATTTCAAGTGATTTCAAATTGCTGCTATGAAGCTCAAAATCAGTTCTTGCGGAAATGTAAAATTAATAATATTTAAAAAAGCGAACATGTAAACAATGTATATATAACAGACTGAGTAAATAAATCATTCAAATTCGCAGACTTTAAATAAATAAATTTTTAAAAGCGTGATTTCAAAAAATCACTCCAGATTTTATGATTTACTATTTCTTACTTCAATTATCAGAGTAAACCCCAATTATGAATGTTACAATTGAGATGTTACAATTTCGAAAATAGTTTCCAACATGGAACCTGTCTTCCGAGAGTCAATGACACTCAAAATCATTGAAAGTTTCATATGAAATCGCTCGAAGTAATTGAAATCCCTGACTTCACTGATTTCACGTGATTTTATTTGATTTCAATTCCGAGTGCCACAGTGATTTCATCATTAAATAATTCCTCGCTCATATTCGTTTAATATTTCGAATCAATATTTTGATTTTTTGTAACAATTGGAGAGGCCGCACAATTTAAAGCCCCGATTTAGAAATACAATCCAGATCTTAATTCAGAATTCATTTGATTTACAAATCAAAGATTAAGTTCGATGCATCGTACATCTGAGTATTAATTAAGAATAAGACAGTACGATTCTATATGAACGAAATACTTGATTTTCAGTTTGAAGATTGAAGAAGACATGATTCTCATTGGAGATTTCTTCAAGTTGATCAATAATTAAATAAATTAAAAATGTTCAATAATAAAAAATAATTAATAATTAACTACTCTAGAGTATAAGCTCAAAATAGTCATTGAAAATTGATTCATTTACGTACGGAGTGACGTCAAGTCCTGAGTAATCGGTAGGTTTGGTTAAATTAATCGAAATAAATCCGAAGTGGATATCTCGATGGTACGGATTATCGTAATTTCGATATTTAGCTGGTGCTATGGTATACTCCCCAGTGTTACTCCAACTTCCCTGTAATGCATACGTAATTATTTCTTGCAGATAGAAATTCTGATGATTTGAAAACATCACAATCAGTAAAACATCAGATGCATCCAAATAGAAAATCAATCATAATATAATTGAATTGAAGAGCTACCTTATTATTCCGCCATTTTAATTCCTACAAAGTGACCCATAAAATGGCGGAAAATATTGAGTGACTCGCAATTTCTGGAATTCTGTTCTAAAACTACGATTAGCTTGACATTTCGACATTTCCCTAAATTTCATCACCCGAACAGACATGAAAGAGTAATTAAAGATCATTAAGTAACATAAAACTGCATGGAATCTATAATGGTATAAGTCCTTTCAAGACTATTCGATCATTGAACAACAATCGAGCATTGAAAAAAAAATGGATTGATTAACGTGGAAACAAATTAAAAATTTCCTGCCCTTTTAATTTAGAACGATCTAAGAAACTTCTTTACCTCAAGGAGACCGATGTACTCGAATTCAGGTCGAATCGTTGTTTCTCGATAACCCCAGAGAGACAATTGTACTTCCGCATTTAAATTACTAGTTAAGTTATAAGCGTCCCACGTGATCTTTATTTCTCTAGGATTTCGTTCGTGTACTGCTCGATTCTGGAAGTATATTTTTTCTGTTGCCGTTGATGGAGTTTCTGAAAAAAATTCGAAACATTTAGAGTCAATTCTACAGCGAATTTTTTGGAGAGCACATAATCTTACTGGATTGATTGCATTACGTATGGACAGCTAAAATCTAATTATACATTTCCCATTCTTCATTACATAAATTATACGAATGTTCTCATGGTCTTTGCGGCTAGTCTTGAGTCTCTTGGAGATATTGATAGAGTTCAGACGGTTTTCTTCCTCGTGCGATTTTAATAAAGAAATAGTGTTTAGAGTTTATTAATTGTATTGTAATTAATTTAATTATCCCATTTCCAATAACGATAATTTTTATAATTTTATATTATAATAATCTCTCTTTTTCTTAATGAATGTTTGACTCTAGTATATAAGTTATAAGTAATTGATAATGGATTAAAATCCATGAACTATTCTTTTTCAATTACCAATGAAGAATTTTCCCTTCCAATCGAATTGTCCATTATTGACGACGATGGCGAATCTGATGTATCCCTCGGCTTTGACAAATGGTTGGATGCAAATGGCGCGGTTTCTGTCAATGACAGTACCGAATACTTCCTCAGTATCAAAACGACACTTAATTTTGTCTTTTGGAAGGAAACAGGGCCCTGTGATATTCACAACTGTACCACCGAGCATATTTCCACTTTCCGGGGCGAAAGTCAACGGCAAGTGGGCCCCAGCTGCAATTCACATACAATTCATCAACTCTTATAATTAAATAAAAATCAGCCTACATAACGAGTAATGGCATAACAACAAACATCTATTGTTAAGTGGATAAAGTATTTTAAGGCTCGGGTGGATTATCTAGAAAAGATAATTTGCTCCGAAATTCGGATTCCTAATTACTTTGGCAGTTAATCGTTTTTTTTCAATAATTGTTAGCTAGCGTTCTAGCGGTTGTCAACAACTAGGCCGCTAGCTAACAATTATCGGAAAAAACGATTAATTTACGGAGTAATTAGAAGTCCCAATTTTGGAGTAAATTATCTTTTCCAGACAGTCCATCCGGGCCTTAAGCTGAATGAAATGAAAATAATTCAAATAAAATTCCATAAATGAGATTATATTGCTAGGGGCACATATATATTCGGATCTTTTCTACATTCGTGAATCCACTGGCTTTAAAGGTACACAGATTATGTAAATGACTAAAATTGAAAAGAAAGATTTAACACTTTTTGTAATAAAATTTCCGACTTTTTAGTTCGAATCGGCTAGAAATTAAATTAGGAATTAGGAAAGTTCTTAATGAATCCTCCTCTTAAAATTGCGTTAGTTTTGTAGCAACCCCCCCCCCCCCCCCCCCCCCCCTTCAATCTTCCCTCACGAAAATTATCAATGAATGCAAATGATTGCAAAAAGGATTTGCCTAATAAATGTTAATGATTGAAAAATTAAGCGGAAATGAACGAAATTGGACGCTTCGCCACTAATTCCTCTCAATTGCCATAATTATTTACCAATATCCTTGTTGCATGTTCCGTGCATTATTTTCTCGTCAATGCGAAAGATATGTCTGCCTTCAAATCCATTAGCCCAGCCACGACTAGTTAAATCACGAATGGTTGACATTTGTGAATAGGGTTTGTACTCGTAGCTTTGAGTTCCATTGCCAGCGTTGAAGCCCACCTGATAATATTGTCAAGAGGATAATAGAAAAAAATAATGAACAATAAATATGATGATACACTAACACAACACAATATTTATAATATATAATGTCATATATAATAGATAATAAATAAATAATGGTAAATAGAGTCGCAGGATTGGAGAATGACTAATGATCTGGACTATTAGTTTCATCTCTGCGAGTGATTAAAAAATTTAAAAAATTTAAAAAATTTAAGAGATTTAAAAAATTTAAAAAATTTGAAAAATTTAAGGGATTTAAAAAATTTAAAAGATTTAAAAAATTTAAAAAATTTAAAAATTTAAAAAATATAAAAAATAATGTGATTAATACTGACATAAGCAGGGACTCCTCCTTCGCCGCCTGTAGTGTCACCCCCAGCCTCAGTATGACTCGTCCACTGTAGGTCATGATAATTGAAGATAGCGTATGTATACACCTCGTCTGTAGCTAGAACTAGTTGGAAGGTATTCGTTTTGTAGAGAGAATTATCAATTCCTCCAGCGAATGACATATTTTTCCAAGTAACAATGACAGCGTGCTTTGGTTCAAACGTATCAGATCCAACCACTCCCTCTCGAATATCCCATTTTACTCTTTCTCTCAT